CTCCCATCCCCAACAACCGGGAACGAATTCTCATGGGATTTCTCAACAATGCTCTTGTTCGACGATGCTCCCTGGTCGAGGGTAATGGAGACCTCATTGCCCACGAAACTGCATGACTATCAAATCAGCTCGAGTCAGGTTCTTGGATAGTGCTGCTTGTTGGGGTGGTTGTTTGAAAATGTCAGAGATTTCACCTCAACATTCGATTCATTCTCTTTCATTTGCATGCCGAAGTGTTCTTTTGCACTCTTGACGACGGACTTCTACACACATGTTTTTATGCATGTACAGCGACAATTTCTATATTTATGATTTTGATTTCAGGTAATAAGTCTCGGAGATGAATCGCATTTTCTGCTCCCAGGTCTCTCTTATACGTCAGCTAAGCTCTGCTTCATCAGCGTAAGTCCTGTCTTATTCTTTGTTCGCTAGCGTCAGCTGGTGTGAAATCGTGAGGGTAAAATTTGTTTCGGTTTGAGCCACTTTTTTTAGTCAAGAGTGCACTGCAGCGGGGGTGAAGGGTAGAGATACCCGGTTGCCGTCTCCACGCTTCGCCAGCGCTGCAGCTTAGCCAACCAAGCGCGGTATTTGTCTGCGTCTCTTGCTTGTGTTTGTTCTTTTTCGTTGAGTGCGCGTTTTGCTGCAGAATTTTAGTATCGAGCAAACGCTGCACATTGAGTAGAGTGCGAACGGAGTATGGTGACGGTACCCAAGGATAACTACCCTCCAGCCCCGTTCATGTGCTTTTTGAGCGGAGAAAGTGGCACTGTGATGGCGCTGCGGACCTTTTCACCCTGCTAATGATGATTGTACTGCGGAGATGAGCGTACTGATTGTCTTCGAGGTGGGTTTTGGAGTAGTGCGTGTTCATAGCGGACAGTTTCTTCTAACATAGAAAATGGTGGGGAGGCTATGCGAAAGAACGGGAGCAAGCCGGACAGCAGGATTTTTGGCCAACGCGATGACGAGGGAGCTCTGGATTAGGTGAACAATTTCCTGACTACAGTAGAGGCAAACTGTACACTCTCCTTCAAGTATCCTGTTCCTTGCCATGCAAGAGGTGAGTGGGTCCCCATGTGGAGCGCAAGCCAATTTCTATACTCAAGAGTGGGCGTGAACGGGGCTGGACGGTCGTGATAGGCTGGTGTCGTCTCCATACTTCGCCCACCCTGTCACGTCTAACCACAAGCGCTACACGTCTGCACCCTATCACTTGTGGTTCTGCTCTTCCGCGTTGTGCTGTGCGGGACCTGGTTATCGTCGCAGAAGCTGTGCATTGAGGATAGTGCGGGCGAAGTCGCGGGAGACGGCACCTGGTGATCGCTACCCTTCTGCCCCGTTCCCGTGCACTTTCTGACAAAGAAGAAGGCATGCTACTGCGGCTGTGGACTCGTTCACTTTGCCCGTGGCAAAGACCGTCCTCTCTGTGGGTGCCTAATTTGTCTTCAATGGAATGGCGCCACTGTAGTTCCCATAATGAAGAGTTGAACTTACTGCCGACATGTAGCCCATCTTAACCCATTTCACATGCCCATTGCTGCTTCTGAAGGCTTCAAGTTTCAGGAAACGAACATGCCTATATGATTTCCATAACAAACACAAAGGCAAAATTGTTCCGTTTGCTGGATATGAAATGCCAGTGCAGTACGCCGATTTGAATATACAGGAATCATGTCGTCATACAAGGGAACATGTCAGCATTTTTGACGTTTCTCACATGCTGCAGACACATATCACTGGAAAAGACAGGTGGAACGCTTTTTTCCTACCGTTTGCCTTCATAATTTTATTTTCATATCTACTCAGAGTTGCATTCATCGAGAGCCTCACAACGGCCGATGTAGAGGGACTGCCCGTGAATAGCGGCACACTGTCAGGTGAGTCACAGCAAATGTTCCGCTTTATAGATCCCTACTGCTCTTTTGTTCAGGGTGTTCCCACAGGATCACGGTATTTGTGATAACCACCTTTCGTATGCATCTGGGTAAAATCGAGTGATACGGAAGACCCATCTAGGCGACGAGCAAAGTATTTGCTAGCTAGTTGACTCGATGTGCCGCAGTACTCCCGCATTTAATCAATTGTTTCTGGCGCGATCCCTGCTCACGTGACAATTCTTGTGCTTGTAAGACTGCTTAGATCGTGTTCACACTTCGCGTGCGCGATCCAGTCGAACGGTCCGATCGCGCGATCGCAAAGTATGAACGCGCTCTCAGGTACTGTCTCTCCAGCGTGGATGTCCCGTACAACTTTCGGGTAAATCTGTGATGCTACTGAACGCTTATGTGCCCGCACCTCCAGTCACTCAAGCTCCAGCTTGTTCTAAGATTGGTCATTATTTGCATAAGATGGCGATTACAAAGGAGTGACCAGTTTTTCTGTGCTCTGAATTCCTGGGAAAGTTAACCGGACTATTGCCGGGAATATGAGCCCATTAAAACGTGAGCGGAAAGGGCTCAGAATCTGTTCACCTTGCTCCATATCGCGCCTTACTATGGGAGTCACTTTGCTAGTTTCCCTCCGAAAAAGCTCAAGTCTCCAAGAAGGTGGGATACGGGGTGGGTGAGGCAGGAACTGAGACCGTGACTTGCGGCTTGCGCGTTAACCATTCTCTTTTGTGGGGAAGGCGCTAGGCAAGAGAGTAAGGTAGGTTGCGTCATAATGTGCCCAAACTCATGACTACTGCTAGATTCAAACGCTGGTTACCTGCTTGACTGCAAAAATTTATACTTACATTGTATCTGCCGTGTCTACTAGCAGTATATTATCCACCTCATTTCAGTGTTCACGAACGAAAAAGGAGGAATAAAAGATGATCTGATTGTTTCCAAGACTGAGTTCGATTACATTTACATGGTTACAAACGCGGGTTGCATCGACAAAGATTTACCATATCTGCAGGTTTGCAATCGTAGTAATAACTGTAGTGATACTATATCCATATGCAGTATACCACTGTAGGAGAATGCTGCTAAATGGCGATCGAAAGGGAAAGATGTTGACAT